TTTAGGGGTCTGGAATATGAAAAATCTGTAGGAGATATTGGGAAACCTAGCTCTCCAAATAGTGCTAGAATTCAAAAATGTTTGCGTGAAGTAGAGAAACTTCACAACAGTCAGGGATTAGGACAATGGTCAAACAATGCAGTAACTTTGTTGGAGAGGGCTCTAGCAGAAATAAATAGAATTTTGGACAAAAGAGTAAGTTAGTTCCTGATGATTTTGGTTACCGTACTGCATCCCAGCAGTGGCAGGTCACATAGTATTTCTTATTTATCTGAACTACGTTTGCCTTTTAGTGTGAAGCTGATCAAACTGCGTTCTATCTGGTCAATGGCTTTTCTACCATCTGCAATATATTGAGCTTAGGATTGAATGTGCCACAAGGGATGTCCCCATACCTTCCTTCAAAGTAAGTCTCATTTTCACTCATGGTGAAACTAGATTTTGTTTAAGTTCACCTCATTTTCACTTATGTTGAAACTAGATTTCGTTGAAGTTCACTTGTTATCCTTGAAATATTGTTTGCAGGTGTTTTGTTACGGCTTGCACTACATTGAGCCTGGCTTGTTATGACCACTCAGCAAATGCAGAACATATGTTAATGTCTAATAAAATTTCTAACATACTTGACCTTTTAATGTGCCGACTCAAGGTACTCTACATCGCTTCTTAGTTTTCCTCGTTATGATTAGATTGAGCTTAAATCGATATTTTTTGTTTTGTTGAATCTGCAGGATGTGGTGCCAGATGATGACGAAAGCTCTCAAACGTGGAGTGGTCCTCTGCCAGTTGACGCCGTAGCCGTAGCTTTGATGAGGTTGCTGGCTTTGCTGTTGGCCTTTGCTAAGGAGGGAACAGCTGCAGTCCGAGCCCGGGATGTTGTCAGGTAACCTGCTTTACTTGATTTTCTCTCCCTTAGGAAAAATGTGCCATTTATGAGCATGCCACACTTAAAGAATTGATAGGCAACCCCCCCCCCCCTCTCAATGAACAGAAAATATGAGAAACAAGCTGATAGGAATGCAGTTGTTGATAGTGCGAGCAGTGTCCTTAGTGGCGGGTCTGATACCGCGTGCTTCCTCGGAGGAGCTTGCTTGGCGTGGCGTGGTGCTACCACCAGGCCACAAGCGGTGCTGCCTCTCGCTCTCTCTAGTCCAATTAGATTACAAATTCCCTCCAAGTCCATCTACTGCTCCCACCACACAGCCCGCCCCTCCAGCTCCAGCCCCTGCCTGTCCGCCCCTAGTCCCCCCCTCCCCTTTTCCCGCTTACGCGCAGCTCTCTGCCTGCTGCCGCTGCTTCACCCCCCCCCTCTACTTTCGGAAAAGAAATGAAATCACAAGGAAAAAAGAAAGCACCTTTACTCTTGTATTTTCGCCATGTTGTAACCGCTTGGAGTGCCTTCAAGCTTATGAACAGCAAACCCAATAGTGTGAGTGTCACACACTGATACGGGTGTGTTTTCCATTCGTAAACTCAGGCACAGGTGTGCGAATGAAAATTCACATTCGCACAAGTGTGCGATATTCCCACACTTGGGTCCTATCAATATGACCGGTCTAAGAAAAGGAAGAAGAAAGGGAGGGGGGAGGGGGGTGTGTGTGCTGCGGTTAGACCCATGACCATAAATTACGGAACGTCAAGGCGACTTTGCGCGGTCAGCGCTTCCAGGCGCCTGGCGTGGCGAGGGTAGGCCACGCTCCCACCACGCGTGTCGAGCCGGGGCCAAGCTGCCTACCTCCGCAGGCGTCAGAGGCTAGGGGACCATATACACTCTATGGCCTGACGGGTGTCGCCGCCCGCTTGCCAAGTGGGAGCACACGGTGTCGCGGTAAACGCACCAAACTGAGAAGCCGATTAACATTGACATGCTGATTGCTTTTTTTTTAGGAAGGGGGGGGGGGGCTGCTTTTCCTCCCGTCTGCGTCTAGCCGTGTTTTGTACGTCTCGATGGTGCTGTCAGGCTGCCGCACCCCATCTTCACCTGCCCGAGCTGCGCGCTGCGCCCGCCCTCGCCCCCGCGCCTTGCTCCGCCCCGCCCCGCGCAGCGGAGATGGTCGGGCTCGCAGCAAACCCTTCTTAACAAAGTTTCCGACTCTGTGCCTCGCCGCTGGCTGCCGCCGCCCCGCCGTTGCTACTGGCTGGCAAGATTTCCTTAATTCGTCAGAACTTGAAGATTTTCTCAAATTGAGCAAACTTTGTGGTAATTGCGTTAGTCCTGGTTACGGATCCGGGCTCCGCCCCCCAGCCCCTCCTTCTCTCAGCTTCGTCTGTGTGCCGATACGGTTTCGTCCCCCTCCCCCTTTCCCCCTCCTCCCATCTCCCCATGCCGACTTCTCCTCCCTTTTCCTCCTCTTTTTATTTTCTTTCTCATTTACGAAATTCGTCTTCGAAGCTGAGTCTGTCGGAACCTCCGCCTCGCCTCGGACGGTTTCGGATCAGTGACCAGGCAGCCTTCCAAGGTTCGGCCGCGGCATGCTGGCGGCTCGAGGACCCAAGCTGCTTCCTCATTGAACCGATAAAGTATATAAAAGCGATATTTTCATGTTTTCGGGGCAGAGCCTGGCTGTGGCTGCCGTGCCGTGAGGATGTTACCCGGCCGTGCCCGTGGGGTGTGGCGGGACGCGGGGTGGCGTGTGGACCGTCCGATTCAATTTTAAGTCCAGCGCCGCGAGTTTGCGATGATGCGTGCTGACCGCCCTCTAATGGCACGACACGGGCGGGCCGGGGAGGGCCGCGTAGTGGTTCAACTTTTGACACCTGCTCCCCTTCCCCCCTCTCTCTCCCGGTCGAGGTCCTTTTGGCCGGGGGCCGCAGGGCGCGGTCAGGTGTTTCCCTCTGGGGCGGTCGCGCCCGGGCGGGTCGGGGGCCCTTTCCTCGGGCGCCCCCCTGGCCGGGCCGTGCGGGGCGGGAGTGGTCCGCTGCCAGTTTGAATTTCGCAACTCGATTATGCCTACGCGAGTAGGTAACCGAGTTTACGCACGCGAGAAAGGCGCGACTTACGTCGTGCCCTCCCATCCCCTGCTCTCTCTCTTGTCGAACACTACTTTCTGCTCTTCTTGCGGGGAGCAGGACGATAGTGGAATGAACGTATTTAACAGTGAGCGTTCCCATGTCGAACGAAGTGCCACACCGATCCCTTCTGATGTTGGAGCAATAAGTATGTTGATATTCGTTTTCATTCAAAATGACCACGGACGTTATTGTTACGAATCTGTAGAATAACTTGCACTAAGTTACAAAAATTACCAAACGATACATTATTATGTCTCAAAGTTAATGGTTTGCAGATGCAGAAGTCCATGCAATGGTAATTTAGAGTGTCGTTGAAAGGATGAAGTCCAATTTGACATGCAGTTTATTGTTCAATTTCACTGTGATGGTTAACATTTTAACAGTTTAAGTAACTTGGACTTCAAAGTTGATTTTACTTTTCAAATGTAAATATTATCTAACAAAAAATAAAAGTATCGTTCAATTTCACTGTGATGGTTAACATTTATTAAGTTTGAAGTAACTTAAACTTCAAAGTTGATTTTTCTTTTCAAATGTAAATTTTATGTAACAAAAAATAAAAGTTTACCGGGATGGTTGTTAGACCGCTTGTTGTTTAACTCTTTTCGTTAATCAAACAGTGATGTCAGCGTTGAACACTTGCAGCGCAATATCTGCAGCCACCTGGTAATTTTGCTCTTGGAAATCTTTCCACTCTTTGGACTTCAACACCTGAAAGATCAATAGAAAATTCAAACCAAAGTGAAAGTAAAATCAACTTGGACAGAAATTTGAGGAGAGTAAAGCTGAGTGGTTTCAATCAATACAAAGGACAAATGACGTTTTTCTGGGTGGAATTCATTTTATATATGGAAGCGTTAGGCTACAGTATACTCTGTACCTGGGTACGATGTTTCATCATGTACTTGATGATTAAGTTTTGTAGCGATGGACTGCTGAACGTTGACATCTTTCCCAGCAGGTCAAAGATTGATAATAGGGGCTTGTCACTTTCCAAACTGTGACGAAGCTTCTCTGTGATTTCTGTGCAGAAATCTGACATGAGGAACATATCTGCAGCTATCAGAAGATCCACCATAATGTTTTCATCATCCTCAACTTCCCCGGTATACATATACCTAAAAGGCAAAGATATGAAATATAATGCAAGTCAATAATAAAATGTATTCCTGATTTGCTTTTAAAAAAGCAAAATAAAGGCAGTAATTGGGTTGTAACTTCTATATAAATTCACAATTTTCATTTAGACCTAATGGTGTCAGTACCTAGGTACCTAGTTTCGAGTTTGAGCCAACAATCCTTTACCTCAATATCTCCTTGAGGACAGGTAGAGAAACATCTACCTCAATGGAGTTGCCATCCCATTCTGGCTTGAATTTCGCCCGGAAATACTGACTCCGAGCAGCCAGTATATTGCGATGGGCGGGTATGACCTGCCCCTCCGTGCACAGTTGAACGTCAGAAAACATATCTGAATGCACGAGGGAGTGCAGATCCCTTGTAAGGTTGCTCTTCGTGGGCTGTGGTGGTGTTGTTGCTGGAATGGCACTTTCATCGATGGATATGTGCAGATAAATGTCTAATTCCAGCTCATTGGGGAATGAGCGGCGAATCGGGACACTGACAGAGTTGGGAAAATCGGCAGAGAGCGACCGCCCGCCGCAACCGCGTGCGATCGCCTGCCGCTCGCCAGCGGAGCGCTACTCCACGCCACGCCGCTTCATTTGGCTGACTCGGAAGCCGAGTCTCGATCTCAGCATCCGAATCACACCGAAGGTGCGATGCGGGTCTGGATCAGCCAATCAGAGCCTGCCGCTGCGTGCATTCGCAGACGGTCGCAGGCGATCGCACTGCCGTCGGACGGGGGACAGGGCGACCGCCCGAAGACTCGGTCGGTTGCGAGCGGCAAGCAGCCGCACCGGCGAGCGGGCCGGGCGGGCGGGCGGCAGCTCTTTTCCCAACTCTGGACACTGAAGAATTCGTAAGCCGTTTTTAGAAAACGGCTGAACGTCTTCAGGTTTCCTAATGGCTCGTCGCCGAATTCCACTTCATGGTTTTCATTCCAGTCCATTGAGTTTAGCTCAACGTAAGAAATACCCCCTCCCCACAAAATTCTTCTAGTCGAATCCGGACTTTTCAAGTCTATCGCGGCACATGCCAGTGCCACTTCATTGTGCGATGAAGAAAATTCGCGCACATGAAATGATATTTCCCATGCCCAGAGCCCGTCGGGAGAAGGGATGAGGGGAAGCGTCAAGTCAGATCGGGGGGCCGGAATGGCAATTCTTTCCCTCAGTGTAGAGATTGTCTTGTAAGTAGACATGTCTATCAAAAGAAAACAAGAAGTGTTTAATTCATTACTAGCTCTCGACGGAAGCAACTTTACGCCTCACGAGAGAGGGGACCTAGTGGCGGCACGCACGGAGACCATAGGTTCCATGCAGATGGGAAATGACGATGATGACAATGACTTGCCTTTTCTCCTTAGCTGCAGACCCGTAGAAAAAATTGAACGACTTGTCGTCTCGTACGAAAACTTGGAATGGGCGGAGTCTCAACAACAAGGCGAGCAGACTGGGCTGGGTCCGAAACTATTTCATACAAAGTAGTGGCAAACTGGCGAAGACGAAACGAAGACTGACACTGACACCTGGCGGTGGTCTCATCCGCATTGTTGACATTCCCCCCTCTCATCAGCTGTGGCAAGTGCCCCCCCCCCCCCCTCTACCCTCTACCCTCCACCTTCCCGCTTTCACTGCAGTCGCTGCAGCCGCTGCAGCCCGCCGCCGCGCCGGCCGGTCACCGTGATCGGCTGGGCCGCAGAGTCAGAGAGTGTGTCCGAATCGTCCGAATTCTCAATCGTAAAACATC